CGGAGACAGCACCTGGATGCATATCGTTCCGTCCTTTAGAAGACGCGGACAACTCCTCTCACAGAACGCTGGGTCTATTTATATATAAGTCTATGAAAAGAACGTCATAAGCATTTCCGTTTGTTCAAAGATTTATTATCAGAACGCGAAAAAACATTGCTGGCAGTTTTTTCACATTTTTATTTCAAAAGTAAATATATAGATATTTTAGATATTACTTTTTTATATATTTTATACATTTCTGTTTTACTAAATACTATTTAGAGAGAAATATAGAACACTGTTTTATATAAACTTATTTTAATTCTATCGCGCAATTCGGCAGAGCTTCTGCGAGTTCTTTTCTAAGTGAATTTTTATTTTCCAAATATGGTAAATCAATCAGTTTTAAAGTCTTCAAGTTTCTGCAAAACAGAAAAAAATATTTTTGTAACATTTGATGTCAAAATAATTGATTTAATATGAAGAGTATAAGATGAATTGATATGAAAAACATACTTCAAAATTTTTAAACTACGCACTCCTTGATCAGTTATAGGTTTGCAGTCTCTGATTTCAAGAGTAATCAAGTTATCCTTCACAACCGATAGTAGTGGTAGGGCAGTATTGTATAAATATTTACAACGTATAAGTTTTATCTCATCGATATATCTACAATCAGCTGAAAATTTCTGTTGTGAGCAATATGATAGTATCATCATAAAAATGTGCATGATTATGACATGACATAGACCAGTTCATATACAAACCAAAATATGGAAATCCTACATGAGTTATTCCAGAATCAGTAGCGTCTACAGCTTGAATATAATATCGAGTGTTTTCCTTTGGTAAATTGTTATAATCCTTCAGATGTTCAGTAAAGCCTTTCCATCTAACGCTAGCACCATTTCTTAAAAGCCACTCGGCACATGCACGATCTGGACCAACTGCCTTAATTCTGTCTCTGTCGACTCTTAAAATAAATATTGTCTTAAAACTTTATATTTAATAAAAAGTAGTGTTATAAGCACAGTGGCAGTATGATTAATTTCTACAGAAATACCTATTGAATATTACGGTTAACCAATAGAAAAGTCCTCTACTAGGTATTCTTCTGTAATAATCAGTGGTAGATAGTAATCCATTTAATATCTACAACATTCACAACATAATACACAGAAGAAACATATATTTGTATATTAGCAAGTTACAAAAATAATGTTACAATAAAAAGACATACGGGGTATTCACATATAATTTTTTAAATAAATACTACAACATTTAAATATAAGATATTATATGTATACCATCATTATTTTCTATAAGGGTTTAATTACACAGTAACAAAATTATACACTTTCTGCAAAAAACCTTGACATTCTTGAAAATAGCTGATAGTCGAATTAAAATATGTATATGTAAATATATTTACATAAAACTAAAGAAAAACCTAAGAGTGGCTACGCGATCACATATTGTAAAATCTTTAGATTTCTTGTGTGAGAGCGCTAACTACATCCACTTTACAGTATCTACAGTATCTTTATTTTAGTATTTTTTAATAAAGAGGGCTCTCTATTCAGATGCTAATTTTTTCAAATTTTCACCGGAAAATCGATAAGTGTGCCAATTTTCTTCCAATGTTATGTCACTAGCATTAAGTTTTTTATAAAAGTTTTGGGCTGAATTCCAATTGAGAACCATGAAATCCAATCTGAAGCAATTGTTCTCAACCGCATCCTGCAAAGAATTTATTGTTAGAGAGAGAACGAGAAATCTTTTCTAATATACACACACATATATATATAATTTTAATTGAAAAATATATACGTATACTTTTGCATTAGCTTTCAGAAGCCTTCTGCCAACTTGTTTCCCTCGGAACTCTGGTTTCACATAGAGATCGTCCATAAACATAGCCTTCCCACGCCATGTTGAATAAGTATAAAAGGTAACGGTATAACCAATGATTTCATCTTTATGTGTTGCCACATTACAGAGAAATAATGGTCGCTCACCAAAACCATCTTTTTCTAAGGCTGAGCAGTTTTTCCTTTTTTATATACCATTATAATTTATGTTATAATATATAAAATCATAAATCTTACTCTTATAATCAATTGCTGGTCCATCAGGCATCTCCTCATAGTTCGCTAATTCCTAAAAAATAATAAATATTTTATACATCAATATAGTATTTAGAAAACCTTTCCATTACGATAAAAAAAAAACAAAACGAAGATTGAGCGTATGGTTAGATCATTGTTGGTCTCGGCGCCTAAACAATCTTGTCTCTGATTTTTACGTGCAACCACAAATTAAATCATAAAGGAATTAACAAAACTTACTTGTATAAGTGTTCTGATGGCTTTGCAATCTTCGCGTCTAGCTTTTCGTATGATTATTTCATCCATCTTGTTCACAGGCTCTGATTTTAAATATTTTAATTGAGAATTATATTTAGGTATATAAAAGTGGGCAAATATAAAGTGAATCTCTAAAGAGATAAATAACATTCAATCGTGATAAAGAGCCGACTGAATGCTATCAAGTCAATGATACAAGATGATCACGTGGTTTACTGAGCGCGTATAAGAGTGGTTTAGTAATAAAAAAAATCTACAGTTTACAATCTTATAATCTTAATTAGATGCTACATAAGTTTACAGAGTTGTTTAACAAGAACGTAGATTTATCTAAATAGTGAAACATTTATGTTTATGAAAAGTTATGTATATATAAACGATAATTATGACAACTTCAATTAATTATTATGTCTGCATTTGTCACGCGTTTATCTTTTTGCAAATTATTTATTATATTTTACTCGAGTAGATTTTAAAAGTAATCGAAGTATAAAACATCTTTAAAAAACGTCATAATATACGTACAAATTTTGTTATCGACAATCGGTCAAGTCAATATCTTCGAGTAATGTATTTCGGAATTTATCAAATTGATTAGAGGCATCGATAACCAGAGGGCGCTCGATAGCTGCATTTCTGTATTATTCATGGCCGTCGATCTTGCGTTTGTATGTGCCGGCTGTTTCAAGTATCAAAACAAACTTGGATTTGTTGCTCTCTCTTTTGTATCACAGCTATTTTCTTTCTAGTATTAAATAATCAATTTGCATCGTACGTCTGAACAATCAAAGCGACATGAGCCGTAGGAAAAGAGCAAAGGTGCGTACGCTATATTGTAATAAAATTTTCATTTGTGAAACAACGATTTCGAGATTTGTGGTTACTCACGTTCGCAGCGATAACACTGTGACGCTATTTTTTGTTTTCTTCTTTACGCGAATAAATGAGATGAGTCAGTTTCTTTCTTAGATAATTTGTACTTGTGTGTAAAAACTTTAAATGATAAAATAAAGCTCTATTAGTTTTACTTATGTTATAATGAGGCATTTTTCATAGTACAGAGTTTGCTCTCTCTTTTTCTTACATTTTTACAAAATTTCCATAGGAACTTTTTATAATCAAGTAATATTTAATAATACAATAAAATTGTTTGTTTAATTGTAGGTAGAGTACAGAGAAATGGAGGAAAAATATAATCAGTTAGATGAAGACAATGTTTTGGATACATCAGAAAAATCCAAGCCTACTCTTGTAACGCCAGAAAAGAAACCTTCTGTAGATATGAAAAAAGAATCTGAATCTACAGTATCTGCTTCAGCTTCAAAAACTGAGATAAAGGAAGAAGAAGATCAAGATAGCGATCATGAAGATCCACATGGTATGTCAACTACTGTGTTTATGTTCTGCCAACTACTTATTCAAATTTGTTAATATATTAATTATGAAAAGAATCATTAATTATGTCTATATATTTAGTGAAGGAATTATTAAACGGTTTGGAAGGTGCAGCTTTTCAAAGTCGTCTTCCATTTGACAAAATGACATCTACTGAAGCAGCATGTTTTCCTGATGTCTCTGAAGGACCACCGCAAACGCAAAAAGTATTCTTGCACATTAGGAATAGACTTGTGAGTGTTGAGATTGCAAGCTAAGTTATTGCATTTGATTGCATTTTGTTCCTCTGTTTTCTTACCTTAATATGATTATATTTTACAGTTACAAATTTGGTTAGAAAATCCGAAGCAACAGTTAATCATTGAAAATGCATTGCCACTAATTGAGCCACCTTATAATAGTGATCCAGTGCTTACTCGTAGAATTCATGCCTTTCTAGAACGACATGGTTTCATAAATTTTGGTGTTTTTAAACGTCTTAAGGTAATTTAATGAGTAACACAGTTAAGTCACACTACTGCAAAGTTATTATACATGTTGATAGTGTTTGTTAGTAAAAACAATACGTGTGACCTATGTTTATTTGTTGCAGCCTATTCCTACAAAAAAGTTGGGCAAGGTTATTGTAGTAGGAGCTGGTATTGCTGGGCTAGCAGCAGCTCAACAAATGCAACAATTTGGTTTAGAAGTAGTAGTATTGGAAGCTAGGGTAAGTTTTTATAATACTTGATTTCATTCTTCATGAGTTTATTGTTCTTAAATTGTTATAATTCACACGTGTGTAGGATCGTGTTGGCGGGAGAATTGCCACATTTCGTAAATCAAATTATATAGCAGATTTAGGGGCTATGGTAGTAACAGGTTTAGGTGGAAATCCTGTAACTACTCTTAGTAAGCAAATTAATATGGAACTTCACAAAATACGTCAAAAGTGTCCATTGTACGAAAGTGATGGGCAAACGGTACGTTAATAATATATTGAAATAATAAATTACCTATCAAAATATATATTCTTAATGTTTTAATAAAATTGTTTATAGGTTCCAAAAGATAAAGATGAAATGGTTGAACGAGAGTTTAATAGATTACTAGAAGCTACCTCTTATCTTTCACACCAATTGGATTTTAATTATATAAATAGCGGTGGTAAAGATACGCGACCAGTGTCTTTGGGACAAGCATTAGAATGGGTAATACGGTTGCAAGAGCAAGGTGTGAAACAACGTCAAATTGCGCATTTGCGTTCTGTGATCTCCTTACAAACACGACTAATTACTAATCAACATAGAGTACGTATAAGACACAAATGGAAATTACTTTAGTGTTTTCACGGTAATATATACATACATATATATATTTATCAATTTTTCTTTATACAGATGATCTCTATTATGGATCGTTTAACGGAATTGAACAAACAGTATAAGGAAGTGACTGAAAACAAATCACAGAGTCGAGATATAACGCAAGAATTCGTTCTTCGATCTAAGTTACGCGATCTCCATAATGCTTGCAAGGTAACATTTCAATGAAAGACGCATTTTTGTGATAAAAGTACATTACAAATATAATACAATAATTTATTTTGTACTTTAGGAATGGGATCAATTGGCAGATCAGCAGAAAGAGATTGAGGCTAAACTACAAGAATTAGAAGCAGCACCACCTAGGTATGTTCATAAATGTATCTTTAAAATATTGCTTAAACAAGGACTTGAAATATATGTGTAAAGCATTTTGCGATAAAAAAATATATCTAAATATTATATCTTTTATTGATTGCAGTGACGTGTATTTATCATCCAAGGATAGGCAGATATTGGATTGGCATTTCGCAAACTTAGAGTTTGCCAATGCTACACCTTTGTCTAACTTGAGTTTGAAGCACTGGGACCAAGACGACGATTTTGAATTCACTGGAAGTCATCTGACCGGTGAGTCTGTTTATTGTCTATGTATAAATCAAGCGCTTTCAACTCAGCGCTACTTGGTAATTTGCGAAACAACAACGATATGTTTTGCATACAGATACGTATAAATATGCATGCAAAAATACGTATAAAGTGTTATTGTGCCATACGATAATTACGATATTTACAACAAGAGGCAAGTTGTAAACAGTTAGAGAAAATTATATATCGCAATACGTATAAATTTACAAAATTTAATTTGCGCGGTATTTGCTAAAGCGTTTACGTATCAGTTCTCCGATATTCTTTGGAAATTGCTGAAGCTAAAGGAAGATAGTGCAGATAATGAGTGAATTATTTGCGAGTTGCATCCTCTTTATAGGCGCTTGATACTCTCTGCTCGCGTCTCTCCCTATAGTTGACTTTATCAACCTTATTGAAAGCCTTATTGAAAGATAGAGAGAGAGAGAGAGAGAAAGGACATGAGATTCCTTATAGATAGTCTCCGTATCCCCCGACCGATCGAGTACCAAAGTTCTCATTATGTGAAATTATACTACGATCATAGCCCGTAAACTCTTACGAGCTTACTAAAGCGGCAACAGGAAAGCCACGCCATAAAAAATATTTTACGATCGCCGATAAACCAACATTTTTACTTGATATCCGCAAATAAATCGTTCGCCAAGTATTCGATTCTGAATGATATGTTTATTAAGACGTGCATATAAATGTAATTACACGTATGTGTTTTTTTTTTTATTTTTGCCACACGATATCGCGAAACGTTTTGTAGTATCGATCATATTTTACTGTTTTATTCCGTGTCGTAATTTATGTACATAAAACGTGCAATAATTAAAATTCAGATGAATTCGGATAAATTTAAATAAAATTTTTACACGCGCGTTTTTTTAAATATAGAATAATTCAGATTTATCAATTGAAGGAATTACATCTGAATAGGAACTACACATCTGAGAATATTTATTTCGTCAGAGTTTTTTTTAGCTATTATTGCTATTTTACATATAGTCTTATACTTTTTCAGATATATGCTAATGTTATCACACTCAGTAGCATTTACTAACTCTATTCGAGCACGAATACCAAAGACATTAACGTAATGTTTACGGTGGAAATCCGACTATCTGCTCAATAATCCTTGCGGTGCTCGATACGCAATCGAAACCTAACCGATATCACCGCCGGTGTAATACGGCTTAACTGCCGCGTGTACCACCGCACTGGCGAAACTCAAATCGATTGAGCGACTGGATACTGTCTCGAGTACTGGGCCGAAGTCGTTTCATCGGCGCGAGAAGTGGGTCCGCGTTCGGGTCTCGAATCTCTCGAGCGCGCGGAATCCCGCCATAAGCGGATGCGCGATTCGGATCTGAAACGAGAGACGCGCACGGGAGATGCTGTCTCCCGTTTCGACTGTGTGAGAAACAGGAGCGTCCATTCGAAATTGAAGGGGTTGCCTCCGATGGGAGGGACGGATGGGGGCACGGTCCCATGAGTGACGTGCATCGATGATCGTGACGGTCTCGCTGCAGCAGGCGGACTCCGTCGTCTCGTCGTCCCTCGCGATTAATGAGATGTAAACAATTTAACGCTGAATTAAGCACAACAATAGGCCGTCTTTCTCACTCGCTCACACTCTCTCTCTCTTTCTTTTTTCTTTTTTCTTCGCCGAAGGGCTGCTTCGGCAGGGCTTCGAGCGAGCATCGACTCACCCGATATAATCGGAACGCTCGAGGTGGACCGTCCGCGGCGCGCTCTTTACGGACCATCAGTTCCTTCTCGGTTTCAAACGAGGCCCGCCGATGGGCCGGCCGCGATTTTATCGGGAAACGCATTCTGAAAGTAAAACAATATATACTTTGTAACATTTACGAAACCGTCCCTTCGCGATTCGTCTCTTCTACGGTCAACTCTTTTCGATTCGGCCATTGAGGTCTATCATTTGGTACCTTATCGAGCAACTGCTTTTTTGCTCTTGTATATTAAAACGTTCGTAAAACGTTTCTTTGACGTATGTGAAAGATCAGTGGATACCGTTAACTGATAAAGGAACAAATAATGGTTTTAAAACAATGGTAAAATATTTAAGCGTTCTGTAACTTGTTGTTGTATGCACAAGTCGATATCTCGCGCGCATTGTTATTATAAATGTCAAATTACCATCATTGTAACGTACGTTGATAAATGCTCACGTGTGCACGTACAAAAGCATGCTAAGTTTCTTTTCTTACATCACATTCTTTTGACGTGGCCGCGCGTACATCGCGGAAGTACTTAACAACAGTTTTATGCATTTTGGGTCAAATATATTCTCTCTCGCGCGGTGTGAAGTTAAGGAGGAACAAAAAGTGCGTAACGTAGTTTCGCGCGTGTGCTCGAAGAAAAACATAGCGACGTGATCGCGAGCTTCCATTTTACTTCGACTTGTACCTTCTTCCTCAGTCCATGCACGTTCACGCTCTGAGACTGAACACTGCGAAACGTGCCGTTGCGCCCTTTCTTCCCGCATTTTATGCGGTTATTGATCCGACCTATGCAGTCGAAGCTATTCCCGGGGAATATTCGGTGCCGAAATTTATGGATGTATCTCGAAGACGCGGCCATCACGGTCACCTCGACCTCCGCCGCATCGGCTCTTCGATCAGCCATATAACGCGAGAGAGTTACCGAGCTTTGTTTGCGGGCGACGAGATCGGCTGGTCACGTCGGTGTTTTTCGACGACGTCAATTTTTCGTCGGCCAAAGGAAACGCAGACAGTTTGACTTGTAACAACGCACGCACACAGGGTGTTTGCGGAATTTGTGCCAAAAATATTCAAGTCGAGAAATTTGAGAGATAATTCTTTTGCAAGAAAAATTTTGTCGAGTTCTTTTGAATTCTTTCTTTCGACTTCGAAATTCTCGACTCGCGGTATTTCTATAATTAAAACCGAAATAAGAATTCCGTGAGAACAGCTCGTCTAAAATTGATGTTTTTTTAACATCTTCCAAGAGAAGAATATTTTGTAATTTTTACTGCATACCTCGTAACTCGATCAACATTTTCACTTTAGGGAAAATGACCGGCAATTTTCTCTCGAGCGATAATCTTGTGAATATCAGAATCGCGGTTTTCACGAAACACCCTGTAGAGCTGTTCACCACGGAGCGAGCGTGTACGCAGAAGAAAGCGGAGGGGTGAACGGGGGACCATTTACGACGTATCGAAGACTTCTATACGCCGTTCGTTGACTCCGATCGTCGCATTCCACGCCGTTCGTGTGTCGCTACCAAAATTATATTGTCGTAAAGCTGACTTCACGCGTATCCCCTTCCTCTCCCCCCGTCCTCGCGTCTTTCTCCTTCGTCGGCGTTGTTACGGAGAGGTTACCACGTGTGGGGACCCAGGATGTCCTTCGCAAGATCTTCGCAAAACTGTCCGTGTTTCGCTCGCCTTCTCTTCTTCTTCTTCCACGTCTTTCTTCTCGCATCTCTCCCCGCGCGTAATGCGTGCCCGTTGCTCGCAATATACCGTACGTGTCGTTAACGCGCGCATATTTTTAAATTAATCGGGATCGGGACACGATAAAGGAGATTATTTAGCCGTAATACGGCAATGACGCTGCCTCGAGGCGCGAACCGGAACCTGCCGTGTGGGGATTCCAAAATTCTCCCGGAGCGCGATCGCGCTAATTGACGCGAGGATAACCCGGTGTGCTTTTATCGGAACTCGAAGCGATTTTTTGACGCGCCGCGATAAAGCGGAGATAAAGGAAAACGAGATCGGGAAAGAAAGTGAGAAAGTAAAATAAGAGAAGAGATAACGGGAATGAGGAAGGGAAGAAATTTATTGTAAGAAACAACGCGACGGTGGCTGCGAAATTTACTCTTTGGTTCATAGAATTTAATTTATTTGCACGATAATGCGATATCTACGAGAGAGAGAGAGAGAGAGAGAGAGAGAGATGCGTTGTCGTTATCAACCGTGTGGCGCGTTAATCTACAACATTTATAACAATAGCTACTCGTATAATTGAGTAACTTTCGACGTATTGCCGCGCGCTCGTTATTGTTCCCGCTGGCTTTTGTACTTTGCGGATATAGCTGGTGTTTACCGACTACACAGACAATTTAGCGCCAAATAAATGACTTTCAATTAGACACGGTATAGTTGAGCGGGTTGCAATTAAGTAAGTACATTTTTTTTTGACTCGAAATTTCGCGGTGTATACAATCAGACACAGTTCTATAATTGTAAACACGAAATAGAAATTTATTTAAGAAAAACATTAAACGAAAATTGTCGCATCGTTCATTTGGACGCCGAAATTGTTATATCGCGTTTAAGGGGAACTCGCCCCGTGTCAAACACGTAGATGAGACCGCGGTTTGTGGTTTACCGGAAGTGCGGAGAGCGTTTGAGCGATCGAACGAGTAGGTAAAATCGCTCTTGTCTGGGGCGGGCACCGGCCGTTGCCGGATACTCATCTTGCGTGATGATTCGAGATTATGTCGTTGTTCTTCCTTTTTCAACGTCAATACCGCGCTTTCGTTCGTTCCTCCACGCCGCGGCAAGCGGCAGCAACAGCAGTCGAGTGCTGGCGTTGCACAGGCGGTCTTTGTTGAGCGCAGCTCGAAGTATGACAATGCACCGCCATCGGTTACGTCAAAATTTCTTTCCCGAGTCTCCTTCGTGATAGGACTATTGTGCAGGAAGGTTGATATTAACCGGGCAGACCGTGCCGTTCTCTCTCTTTCTCAAGACTCTCATTATGTATGCGCTATCGAAATTGCATCGTTACGATCTTGAATATGCATTTTCCCCTTCTCCTCCGAAATATTCGTCCTCCGGTCACCGCGGATGTTTTTCTTTGTTTCGCGAATGAGTGCATTCTAAAGTAGAAGCGCGCTTCAACGCTAAAATCCCGAACATGAACTTCTTGACATTCGAAGCGGATCAGATTTGTTCGACATCGGCGAAAATCTCAGCTATTCGAGACGAAATGCGACTCGGTCGC